GATAAACACTTTCAAATAACACACTTTTCTTAAGTCAATTTTTCATTTCCAGATTTAAATTGGCTTATAAATAAGAGAACATTTTTTTTACATTTTTCCTCCTATCTTGATTTTAAGGTATTTTTGAAACAAAATTCCATTGAAGTCTCAATTGTAGTTGAAACATGCAGCATAAAAATAAAAGTTGAATGTATTTTAAGGCAATGGGGAAACAGTTAGCAGTATGGATTATCAATACTATTTCTTAGAGTGGGGTGGCAGTGAAAAATGGGAAAGAGAAAAGAGAATGTCTGTGAAATAAAAAGTTTCATAAAAAAATCATATGAAATATTAAAATAATTTTTTCTCTATCTGTGAGGATATAACTTACCTTGGTCTTCCAAAATTTCTACTGTATGGAAATGGAGGGAAAGCTGAGCTCAGTGTTCTCTGAGAATTTAGAAACATTGGAATGGGAAGCCTTGTGATATATAAAATTAAATATAAAATGTGGCAAACACATGAAAACCATCTACCCTCCTGGACTGAGGTTGTAAAACTCAACCCAGGTTAAAGCTACTAAATGTTTTTCAGGGAATGGCAACAATGCCCATCCCACAAAATAATTCCTTTACCAACTTATTAATTGCTCAAAATGTAATGAAAATGAGCTTAAGGGATGGAAAATAATCTGAAAAATATTGTTTATATTAGAAAATATATGAAATATTATGCAACACTTCTCAATAGTGTACACAAGATTCAGAAAGCAGAATTCTACTTTCAAAAATCTGTTCAGCCATGCTTCAGTACGTTTCATTGGAAAAAGGGTACTCTTGCAAAATTATTAAGCTTTTTGAAATGTTCAAAATCTGCTCTCAATAAATTATGTGCAAGGATTATTTTGTTTTCTTTTTCTAGGAAAAAGAAAATATACCACAAGCCTCCCAGGGAAGAGTACGCAGTTATCGATAAACACGACCATAAGAGACTCTTTTGCTCCTTCAATTCTATCGGAACACAAACAACGTATCTAATCTAAGCTAGCTGCACTATCCTTATAAAAGTACAGAGAACAGCAATGTACTTACGTAATCTCAGTGAAAAGCTCACACTTAATCACAGCTGAATGCATAATAGGCTTTGCTCTTCTTATAATGTTAGGAAATCTCCATTAGCCAATAAGGAGTTTTTGGGGGGTATCTTTGCATATTTACAAGTTTAACATATATTACAAAGTTTGGATACATAAACTAAATATAGTGCAAGACCTCTGAAATGTCCTCTCTATTCACAGATCTGAATGCATACAGTTTTCCATCTACTAAAAGGAATTATTTTCTTTATGGAACACCCAAAAAATAAAATTTACTTGTTTTCAAGTTTAAGCTTAAAAAGGGCACCCTTACCTGAAACATCTAGTAATACAAATAGCAATTCTCTAATGGATCTAATTTGCTACTCAATGTTTTCTGTCAGAGCGTCTATGAATCAAAAGAGCTATAAGCAGCCTTATAAATTGTGCAAATTACTAGCAAAGTAAGAAGTATTACTCTGTAAATTACATACAAGCCAACCGAAAAGCTATTTGCCACATTCAAACAGCACTATTTGAGTCCAGAATTCTTTTCCTGGAAAATATAGCTATGCAGCCAGAAATATTGGGAACATACACAGGAGGAGACTATCTAGCAAATCACAAAAGACACCCTATGAATTAAACAAACATAATTGACTGCCTGAACCACCCTGTCATATTCTCCACTGTGCTTTCCACAGTTATTACCCATGAATTTTATATATTATTATAATGCCTATTTTCTATACAGCAAACTAGACACCAACAATCACAACTGAAAATTTTGGTTTGTGTAACTGAATAAATACTGTGTTCAAAACTTTGAAATATAACAATTTTTTAAAAAAATTACTACATAAATTTACCAGATTACATCTTTCCCATTCATCTGTCTTATCTATTATTAATAAGTATCACCAACAATTTTCTGTCCAGATTAATTTTTTTTGGAGTTGATTCAATATGCTGTTAGATATTGTATACATTTGAGGAGTTAAAATGTATTGTTCTGACACTATTGTCCTCATTCTTTTTTCACTGATACCAACTCCATACTGAATGAAAAATAATTTCCAATAATTTCCTGAGTATTTTTTATAAGCAAATAAATATTAGCTAGATTTAGAAGTCCTTTTTAAAAATGCATTTAAGATTTTATAAGAAATTAGAAAATATCACACTCTGGGTGAGTGAGACGTACATGTTCATAGATCTATCCTTATAAGTGATATGGGGGGGGGGATTAAATTTCAACAGAAATAATTTCTCTCCTTAAATATCAATGTTATCTTTTTATAAAATCTCAGAAGCAAAATGGAAGTGCGACAGTCTCTCTTACACTTCATTATTCTATTTTACTTTCTGGTTAGTACTATTTCAAACAAAGTGCAGAGAATATATTAAGTTAAAACCTTACACTATGATTTACAGTGCTTCATGCCAATTTTGGTTTGCCACCGGCATCTCTTGCTGTGGCTCTTTGGTCTTCACCCCCTGTATTAAATGGAAGAGCGTCTGCTTTATCTTCTTGCTATGGGTCAGTTTTCCTGGGTGGAAGACTGCAAGCATTCCAGACGTCTGCCTCCATAATGCAAATGCTTATTTCACAGCGATACGAACGGGAAAGCTAAGTATACATTTAGGGGAAGCAACACTATTGTTCATATGACTTTATGCTTTCATAGTTTGATATATTTAAACTACTGCCCCCATCAAAATGTCTACAGCAAAGTCTTAGAACCACTGTTTTACTTGTGGTATTATAAATGGGATGTATTCAGTGTTGTTATTCGACTGACAGAAGGCTCTTTGACTTCTTAAAAGCTTTTATCAGCAGAAAAGGGAGTAAGGGTAGGAATGCAGGTCAACAAGGAGAAGAAACTTAGCACACTTGATTCCTTGTTGTAAAATTCTATTGGATCATGAACCTCTCATCAGCAGAAGATCAGCAGTGGATATAACCCATATCACTGCATCTAGGATGAGAGTAAAAATCATATTGTTACAGTCACACTTCAATACACATTCAGTTCCCATTTATTGTAAGTATAATACTGCACTTATTATCACAAATGTATAAAAATATGGCAGATAGTGTCATAACAATACTTTAAGTGAATATATTTTAAAAAAGACAATTATTATTTATTATATAAATATATATATAGTCACACACACATACGCGCACATGCGCGCACACACACACACACATATATATATATTTATAATAAAATATTCCTGATGTAATATATGTTAATTTTTATAGAAACTACTGTAGCTGTTTTCACTGCATCACAATGTTTCAAACAGCTCGAAATAATGTTATAACATAAAATGTGATATAACAATACGGTATTAGATAATAAATAATATTACAAATCCTATTAAATATGGAAGTTTTAGAAACAAATAAACTAAACTTTAAACTATACTAAGGATACAAATATATCACATAAACCCCACTTAAATATTTTTTTTTAATTTAGGCAGCAACATTTTTAAAAAGGGCATACATCTAAAGAATTTTTTTTTAACTCCCCAAAGTGCCCAAACAGCTTTCAGACAAATGTGCATACTAAGCTGGAATGTAAGCTGAGAGAAAAGGGCAAATAGTTCATTCTCCCTGAATTGCACACTCTTTTGTTATTATACTGAGTGAATGAATGGCAATTAATAAAGTTCATTTCACCATATGATCCCTATTGATGTGGCAGTAGCTACACACACTCCATATTGCACACTCTTTTGTTATTATACTGAGTGAATGAATGGCAATTAAT